GATAGAAAATTATGTATGCATTGTAGTTGACTACACGCTAGAGCTAACCAACTTCGTCGCAAAATAACAATTAATATGGAACCGAAACAACAGACCGGCAACGTCTATGGTTGAGCGCCTCCTGGCTTCGTGGAGCTCGGCGGGGCGGCAGGGTGGTGATTCGGACCCTCTTCATCACTGTCATCCCCGACAGCATAATGTTCTTGTTCCGGGCCTGGTGAATGAAGGTTGTCGAGCTCGGACTCGTCAAAGTCGCCCGCTTCCACATCGGCAGGCCCGGAGCGTTTGTTGTGGAAGCGCTCCAGAATAGAGCCACTGCCAACGTCCCTCTGGTAGACTCCTTGATAGCCGCGGTTGCGTCGTCGACTGCGCCAAATGAAGAAACCCCAGACCGTCACACCGATTATCACGACGATCAGAGCCGCCTCGCCAGACTTGGCGTAGGCCTTCCATTCTGTCTCTTTGATCTTCTCCTTCGCTTGCTGCTCGGCTGCTGTGCTGTTCGGGTGGCCGCCTACGGAGGTCTGCGGTAGCTTCTCGCCATCGATCCGTGAATCCGCCGGCTTGCCGCCGATATTGGCGATATCGACCTTCATGAAGCGGTCAAGCATGTCACGACTCTGGCGAGGTAGATCGTAGGGTACCATATGGCTTGCATTGTAGAAGAGGACGTAGGTCAAGTTCCGGGCATATTGGTATATACCGGTCGGTTCACCTTCAAATGTCCAATCGTGACGCGGAGCCCAAACACCAGGGGAGGTTTCAAAGCCAGTTCCACCGTTCCACTTCATATTGTTGATCAGTTGTTCCGTACCGACATGATTGCAAATGAGATCCTTGTCGCCGCTGAACAGCAGGATGGGAATGCCGGACTCGAGAAGCTCCGGTAGTAGTTGAACCGAAGGCAGCGAGTTCGCTGCGTTGAAGGTACTGCTCACCGCGCCAGAGCATTCCTCCCATCCGGACTTCTTCTCGGGGTTAATGTTCAAGGCTTGGACCACGTCCGGGCGCTGCAAGTAGGGCTTCACGTCCACCAAGTCTGTGGGCCAATTCATTCCGCACGACGGATACGTATCTCGGAGGCGGACGTCGTACATGTTGTAACACTGCCTATTTGTATCTTTCGTGCGTGCAAGAATCTGCTGCAAAATCTCCTCACAATCCCTGATGTTTATGGCGTTCGGTGATGCACTTATCTTCGATTCGCAGACGGACTGATAAACTTCAAGATCTTTGGCGAGACTGCTCCCTTCTGTGACAAGACCCTCCTCGTATGCGAAGGTGAGGTAAGAGGGGTACTGCTGAGCGGGAGAGATCCAACCATTACCGATCACAATGCCGCGAAGATTCCACCGGACGCTCTGGTCATTCTGGATCTTATTGTTGCGTTCCTGTATAGCTTTGGCGATGTAAGGTATATGCTGACCAGCATACGACTCGCCTGCAATGTATATCTGATGACAAGTTAGAAAGGTTCACCGAGATCATCAGGCACTGAAAATGAGGGCACCTACATCGTCACCTTCGTACTCAGGAAATAGTTGAAACCACTTCTCCAGGAAGGTGATAAATTGAGCCGACATCTCATCGAGCTCGTGGATATAACTGTTGGTGCTGACGTAGCTGAAGCCCGTCCCGACGGGTTGGTCAACGAAAAGCAAGTTTGCAAATTCATCCCACGAGCCATTATTGTACTCCAATGTATGGTTATCCTTGAGTCTGTAGGGACCGATTTCCATGAGAGCGCCGTCCATCGAACTGCATCCTGGGCCGCCGTTCAGCCAGATCACTGTCCGCTGGCGGTTGGCGATATGACGGTTCTGGTAATGCCAGAAGAAAAGGTTGCCGTTATTCTGCGCATCTACTTCGATATGCCTGACCATGCGCAAATCATATTAGTTGGCGCCTTGGGGGTATCAAATCCTCAAACACTGGAACTCACCCGGCATGCATCTTCAACAAGGGCCCTTCTGGGGCACCAGGCAATGATCGTACATAGTAGTCTGCAGCAGATTTGGCTGAGACTAGGGTCGGACTGAACAGAAGGAGTAGCGACAAGGCCCACCACGAAACGTTCGCGATGCCCGATTGCGTCCTTGACCCTCGAGATGAGGGCGCTGTCAAGAGCATCTCAAGTGACCAAGGCGAGGGACAGTGGGATCAATCTTTTTTTAATAAAAGTACAGACACCAGATCAAATATTATGCGGGAAATGGTTCTGCGAGGGCTCTGAAGGTGACGCTCAACGTTTCATTGGTGAGGGCGATTGACTCCTCGGTCTCCCTACAATTCGGAGGATGGCAGCCGTTCGGAGGTCCGGGCTTAAACGATGATAGAGCAACCTCAGACAAAAAAGCAGTATGAACAGAAGAGCAAACAATCACACTGATTAGTGGGAAAGGACAGGAATGCTGGACCAGGTCAACTGGTCGACGGTGTAGTACGTACGGTCTATTGAGGCTGATTATTGTTGGTTCTGATTCTAAAAGTAGCTCTCTCTAATAACGGCGATGACGGCGCAAATCGATCTGGATGGCGTGGCCTGGACTCTGGTACAGTACAGTCGTCACGTATTGTACTTGACAGTAATTAGTCATCTAATACGGTGATACGGTGACCTTATGCCTCCGAAGTACGGATACTAAGGTAGATTATTTCCATTGTAGGCAAAGAACTTGATACAGTACCTTATCGACAGCATGCAGTACCTGTACGGTACAGACTCTTTGCGGGCTGTATTCCCTATTTCCGGCTATCTATAGAGACCTATTCATCGGGATTGATGAATGGAATACGAGACATACGAGGAATTGATTTTCTAAGCCAGAGAGAATTACGAGACTGGATGGGTCATACGTATACATCTTTGGCAGTGGTGACAAATCTCTCTCTCATGGTACAGGAACAATGTGCCAATGCTGCACCTAGATCTAGGTAGCAACAAAAAAGTAGGCTGAAACAGAAGCCAATTGACCCATCCATGCCTCCGCAGATCAAAATAGCCATTCATAGCCATTCTTAACAAAGGCCAAATCGTAGAGAGCTAGATCTTAGTGAGAGCAACTGGACAGGGTATTATGCAGTCGATGATCCTGTTATGTACCCTTTCAACCAGCAACAATCTACTGTACGTCCTGGTACCTTCATTGCCGCCATTCAAAGATCAAAACAGGTCATCCACAGCCTTGTCAGCGTCCTTTTTGATAAGGTCAACCATACCCTATGCATGTCAGCGTCTCTATGCATTTGGGGCTCAACACTAAGAAGACATACAGCCGGCATAATGGGTTGACCATCGTCTCCTTTCACATAACGGAAGGGCATTTCGGTCCGCTCATGTTTGTTGACAATGATCTCGGGATAATCGACATACTCGATCTTCTCCAGTGGCACTGATCATAGTTAATATTGATGAACAGATGGGTCAAGGCGACACACGCAGTCTGATACCTTTCTCTTGAACCACTATGCGCGACACTCGCACGGCCGTGTCAGTAGTCATCTGCTTAGGACCAAGTCGTCTTCCGACGTAGCCTTTCTTTCTCAGCTCGGATGTACGATCTATATCCAAGGTCAGTAACTCCTCGTCAGCGAAAAGCATGTTGTTCAATCAAACGCACCTCGTGGCGGATCATCGCCTGTCCTTGGCCAGAAAACCAGCAAGTTAGTACATTTCCTCGAGTCGGACCAAGTAAATCACAGCATCAAGGACAGCCATGGGGGAACTACGAACCGAGGATGCCACCGAAGAGAAAAACGTCAAAGATGTCTCCATCTTCGGGGCTCAGTTCGACCTGGGCTGCGGGGTCTAGCAGGCAGACCTTGGACTTGCGGTCTGCGAAGATCTCCTCGACACTACGATGCTCAACCTCTAGACCTTGTGTCGCGGCCAGGTCGTTTGGTAGTTGCAAGGAGGTCGGCACGGAACTGAGAAGAAATCTTGCTCCCGCCGCATGCGACTCCCGCGCAATACAGCCGTATTCCAAGGCTGACCAGGGACCCAGCTCTGGGTCCAAATGTTCGACCACGAAGGTCAATTGTCTAGCGGACGGTACATTATTCTGATGAGACATTTTTTGGGTTTCTCTTTCAAATGAAACGAACGGAGAAATGGGGATGCACTTCGGAAGTCTTTTTCTAGGCGGATGACAAGCTCACTGGACGAGATAGTATGGGTATGGATCCAGTGAACGGTGGGGTTTGGAGTCCATCTTCCTCTCCAGGTGGTGACGAAATTTACACAATGGGATGAACAGAAGGCAGTAATTTGCCATGTAGTGAGTATGCAATTAATTCATCAATTCTTCTTCAAGCTATATATGTTGAAGAACGAATGAACTTTTTACAGCCAGATACCCCACGAAGACTGAGCAAGTCAAAAAGCCAACCCCTCTTATCGATAACCATGTACACAAGGAAACCTCGATATAATAATTATAATGCTGTAGAGATACATAGTTGATCTTCCTCTTGGGTTGTTGAGTAGACTCAAGTAAAGTGCAGTTCTCCTCTACTATCTTACTCCCTGATCCAGGGGACCAGGTGGGATGTATTATCATGGTTGTGATTATTATTGGGCAGAGATCGCATGTCCAAACTGCGTACTATATAATACCACCATCATCTACTTCATCATCTGAGCGATTCCAATTCTTTTGCATTATTCTTAATTCTATTTCTTCTGTCCCAAAAAAACAATAATAATAACACTTAACTTCATTTCCCCGCATCCAGTAGTGATCTTCCGACTTATCCTTTCAACGCCCAACGTTCCCTCTCTCTCTGTCTTGCCTTGTTCCCTCATATTTTCCGCCGCCCCGCCTTCATACGACTACTTCATACTTCACTCCGACGGCGACTACTGGCTACCTATCTACCTTACTGCTCTCAGCAGACTTCACCCCAATAACACTTTCAAACACCGAAAACTGGAATCTTCATTTTCTTGATTGATTAATTTGACTTGCACTTGCCCAAATCCAGTCCATCAGTACTTGAAAATGAATCCTCATCAACAGAACAAGGTGGACACCAGCGTAAGTGTCCTCACAATATTGTCTACCCCTTCTCTCTATATTCCATGAAATATTACATCTTGGAAGAACCAACTTAATCTTTGCTAGTCCTTGAGCCCCGATGAACAACGTCTGCTTCGTCTCTACGGTAAAATGCCCACCAAGAAAGACCTGCTTCAGAACAAGCTCAAGGTATGGGTTGCTTCGTCATCTTCTACGTCCTTGTTCAGGGAGTCCCGCTCTAAACCTTTCCGCTCTTCTAGGAACGAAAATACTTCGATTCGGGCGACTATGCATTGAGCAAAGCCGGTAAAGCTTCGGATGTCGGGGTCACTAATATCGGTTCTAAGCACCCTGTTCCGGAGAACATCCCACATCTGACTGCTACATCCCCCGGTGCAAACAATCCCGCTGCTGTCAGTAATGGTAGCAGTGCCAGCTCTCAAGGCCAACAGCTCCCTGGCAGTATTAGCGGTCACCCTGGTTCGATCGGATTTCAGAGCCGGAGCCCCGTGAAGGAAGCAAGCTACCTACAACGCGGAACTAGCGTGGATGATTCGGAGGGTGCCGACGATTCAGCAAAGGAGGGGAACGAGCCCAGCGTGAGCCCTCCTCCTGCTCGTGATGGTGTCCCCATCCGCCGATAGCCAACAGAATCCACCAACTTGCGTTCTGTGTCTATCTTTTTTCTAGCGGATTCAATCGTGGTATTAAAAGGAGCTGGGCGCTGTGGATTGTTTCGCCTTGGATGTGATTTCGAGAGCTTTCAAGCTTGTGATGGAATACTGCAGAGCAGGTCGAACCAAGAAAGGTCAGATTGCCAAAGCCAGCTGCGCTTCAGGTTCAAAGAGAAAGAGAAAGAGAAAGGATCAGTGTCCGGTCGCCCTGGATCACTTCTTCGCCCCTCCAGACACCTTCCCCCGGGGCTCGGGGGCCAAACCTTGATTCTGGAACGTCGCGGCGTCCAAAAAAAAATAAAAGGATCGAGCCCCGATTGACCGGCTGGCCCCTGGGTGACCTTACATCAATCATTTTTGGCATTGCAAACCATAGCCATGATTACGAGTCCTCTTTCTTCAATCTCCATATCGATTTCCTGTATCAGACGATCTCGTTGCTTGGCATCCTGTCTATCAACGAATAGCCTGTATTGTTTGTCTGAGCATATCGCCTTGATCGCCTCTTTTCTGACCTCTTCATCGATGAATTATCACTTTACAACCAATTTTACCTTCGCTGATGTGTGATGTCAATTAGCATGCCATATTTGGTACAATTTGTGCATATCTAGTTCCTGCAAGCAGTATCAATATGAAACCTTCCTGACTCAGACAGAGTTAACGACAGGCATCTCTTATCTAAACGGTCTTAAGACCATCTCACGATCTCACGAAAGCTTGACTTGCGTTTTCACTTTTGCTACGTCTACTATGAGTGTCTAGGAGAAGTAGCAGTCACAAATCTAAGTAAGCTTATTCATCGGGGATGTTTTGCTTCACATGACTGGCGCCCATTCAAATTCTACCAAGGAGCCCTACCATATGTGCCGGATGCGAGTAAGAAATGACTGTCCAGAGCTAATCAAGACTATTTTATACTGGCCGAGTACAAAGTCTAGATTCAGAAAAAAAGAAGCAAAGATGACAAGACCAACCGCCACCAGAGAACAAATAACACGAAACTTCATTTGACATGCCGCCAGACCATGATGGGGTATAGAAGTCAACTCAAAACTCAAAACTCAAAATCACAAAGAAGGACCACGTCTCGTCCTGGCGCCGATGACACTAGTAGTACATGCCATGCCACCGGAAAGTTGCGAGAGAAAGCCAGACAAAAAAGGGGAAAAAAAGCCACAGTAGAGGAATGAACGGGGGTATAGAGCATAGCAACCAACAGGATAAACTGTAAGGGAGCAAAACGGAGGGATCCTGGGAGCTTTTCGGTGCTCTTTAGCATCTGAAGACCATAGGCAGCAGAAGACGAGACGGTCCCAGAATCTAGTAAAAAGATAGGCTTGCGGTCTCGAGGATGGTCGCCGAGCCTCCCACAACAGACTTGCGTATCCTCCCAGGAAACTCAGGAATGAAAAACGCATGTATCCCCGCTGCACGACGCCCATTCCTTCGCAGGGGATTCCTCAGCTACCATGACCCGAAATAACCAGACCATCGGACCTGCCGACTAACTGTGCGGTCCTTCGCCTAATTGCAAGGTATCAAGCTCCTATTCCAGAACCTTGCAATCTCCGTGGGGTCGAAGGTCCGGAAGACTCGTGCGCCAAATGTATAGTGCAAGGCTCCATATCGAGGTACACGGAATGCAGTCGAAACAGTGGGCTGGATGCCGACATTGAAATTGCTGCGGCGACTCTTCCCCAATCATAGGGCATCCTTGAAGTTCCAGGTCGCATCGAAATGCAACATAAAATTCCCGAAACTCAAGCAAAGTCTCGGTAGAGACTTCAGTCCGTTTTCCAGTGCCCAGCTAATCCAGTATCTAGGTCGTTGTTTTCACCCAGCCATAGCTCGACAGCGTATAGAGCCAGGGTGCAAGCGAGGTTGACCCACCTCCACAGGTTTCCGCCCCCACCTCCTTGAATGCTCCACCACTGGCCGCTGCCACCCATCGCTTGCGACGTTGTGGCAAAGTGCTGCATTAGGAGACTTGTATAAACAGCGATGAGGATCGACGGGGAAAAGTAGCTCAAAAAACCCAAGAATTGACCCGCAGCATCAGTATCGTCCAAAGAAGCCTCCTGAGAAAGCGCACGTGCCCCAGATTCCCGAACAGCAGGGATTATTCGAGTGGATGCATACAGGACGAAGATACGGTATGCGAGCGAAATCAGGACGGAGGGTGTTACAGCGCTGAAGACGGCAGTAATCACGTTGAAAGTTGCATGAATGATGGAAGGCAACGAAGACAAAGCATGCATGAGTGTGGAGTAGGATGCCATGATGATAGGCGGAAGGGGTGGGAAGTCGCCGCTCTGAGAGGGCGAAGAGCCCTGCTCAACTGGGTACGATGGCTGGTAGTCGGTAAAGATCTGATAGATGCACAACACGACGTAGGCGAATAGAAGCGAGCTTTCGACAGGGTTGCCACGGCCACTGCCAATACCCCAGGCGCACAGAATCACAGCACACGTAATCGATACACCGATCAAAGCAGCATCGACATTCGATATCTCCGGAAACTGAAGAACGCGCCAAAGAAAGTACACAGAGCTCGATATGATAGAGGCGGATAGTACTAGAAGGGCAATCTGCAAGTGCAAATTAGCATCCATTCATCTGTTTTCACTCCAGGGACATAAAGAATAGGTGAAAATAGAAATTCTTACCATCCAGCTATCACTTCGTCCGCCGCGGTTAACGAGCCAACGGGTGATCTGCCCTGCCGCTTGTATGACCAACAAGCTGCAGAACCCTTCGACAAGCTGAAAAACAGGTGTCGACCATGTGAGAAGCTTGTACCAGTTACCGATAGTCACGGTCTCGATGAGTCCATCAGGTCCAAAAAGCCACTCCTGGACCGATGAGTCCTGGGCTCTCTTGCCGCTGAATGTGCGTTCCACCCAACTACTCGTGTTGTCGGTATCAATCGAAAAGCGATTCAGGGACCAGATCAGAAGTATCGGTATAATAATCCATTGCGTAGAGCGGATAAGGACGATCACTGAAGACCGGAACCATGATCTCTCAGGGGTGGTGAGCCTCAGGAGGGAAAAGATGAAGTAAAAAGTCGCCAGGGATAGAGAAAACGCCAGACCGCACGTCTTACCACCCACATCGAAAGCCAGTGGGATGGAGGAAACAGTGACGGTCAGGAAGAGGGCCGACGAGAGGATCCGAAAAAGCCACATCGGGAAATAGTTCGAGGCAGGAGATCTGCCCAAGAGAGGAGGACGCGGGAGGAAGAACGGACGCGAAAGTCGACACGGTAGAGACCTGTGTATCTGGCGAGTGATGGAAGATCTGACCTTTTAACAAGTAGACATCGAGCTTGACCGGAACCAAAGTCTGGTTAGATAGATAGTTGGAGGAGATGAAACTTTTTACCTATCCTCTCTCCCCCTTTGGCCCTAGTTCTGTAGGGTAATTTGATCTTATCTACTAAGCGGGACAGGATGATGTCTTTTCACGTGGCACTGCACAAGTATGGTAATGATAACGTGTTGAGCTTGCAACGACAACATCAAGTTCTCACAATATCTATGGAAAGAAGAAATCAGAAAAATAATAATACTAATAATAATAACGTAAGAAGCGAAGATGCAGGAAATATTTTTTTTTTTTTTTTTTCTCCTAAAAGAAGACTGTTCGGCGCTGTTTGGTTGGATACAGGCAAAATCACAAAGGGCTAATTAAAGCTAGCGGCACTTTGGCACAGATAGAGGCGGTGGACAAAACATAGGAGTCATGATGTAGGTAGTGGCGGTCACAGGGTATACGGCGAAGAAGAGAAGTGTAGAGAGGTAACTAGTTAGTCGAAGATGGCTGAGGTCATTCAGTTATCTTCAATCTATCTGCTGCATCTAGGAGAGGTGAGATCATCAGCAATGTCTCGTCGCAATTCATTCAATGTACTCAGTCCGTACCTCTTGTTTTCATGCGACAGTTGTTTACCCTCCAATACCGCTTCGAAGCGGTATTGATGCCTGGCACTATACCTCGAATGGCCTGGTCCATACAGAGTATAGCTTTGGAAGTTGCTTGCCATTTCAGGCTTGGTGATTATTGAGTTCTCCACACTCACATGTCGCAGAGAGCCCTTTGATAATAGCCCTAATAGCTGTCCTGTTGCGGTAACTGTTACAGATAAGAGGCAGAGACCATACATAGATCCTGCGCCAAGTATCATTATCGTTCATTGCTGGTAGTATCCGTACATTGTTTGTTGAATGCTACGATTGCGACAGCTGTTCAAAATGGCCGATGAAACCGTTGCGAAGAAACTGAAGACCTCCCCTCCTTTGATCGGAACTCATAAGTATTCATTGACGCTCCTTCGATAATGGTATTCTCCGAGAGACTGATTATCCGTTCAGCGGTCATTTCCACGCCGACGAGGCTCTGGCCGTCTATCTTCTTCGCCAGCTCCCGACCTATGCCTCCTCTCCTCTCATTCGTACCAGAGATCCGGCTCAACTGGCCACATGCCACACCGTTGTCGACGTTGGTGGAGAGTATGACCCAGCCAGCAACCGCTATGATCATCATCAGCGTACCTTTTCAACCACCTTCCCAAACCACAACACCAGGCTTTCTTCCGCCGGCTTAGTGTACATGCACTTTGGTCGGGCGATCATTGCGCAACATACGTCACTCCCGCTGGATCACGAGGATGTTACCTTGCTCTATGAGAAGCTTTACACGGATTTCATCGAAGCGGTTGATGCCAACGACAATGGTGTCTCAGTCTACGACCCCGCGGCTCTGGCATCGGCCAACATTGAGAAACGTTTCAGGGACGGTGGTATCACAATCACTTCGGTGGTCAACGATATGAACAACCCCGACCCTACTTGCCCACCTGGAGAGCCCCAAGATGAGGATAGTCTCTTCAGCAGGGCAAGCACATTTATGGGACACGTCTTCACTCGCAAGTTGCACCATGCGTTTACTTCATGGCTTCCGGCTCGGGCGACCGTTGGCGCTGCCTACCGGTCCCGTCGCGAAGTCCATCCCTCCGGTCGTATTATCATTCTTCCACAGGGTGGTGTCCCTTGGAAGGAGCATCTCTACAATTTCGAGAAGGAAGCCTCAGGCGCTGGGGACGTCAACCCCGACGAGCGGGTCTACTATGTGCTCTACCCCGAGAGCGCTACCGAAGGATCCAAGTGGCGCGTCCAGTGCGTTTCGGTAAATGAGGGTAGCTTCGAATCCCGCAAGCCGTTACCAGAAAGCTGGCGTGGCGTTCGTGATGCCGATCTGGATGGCTGCCTTGCTGCAGAAGCCGAGAAGGCTGGTAAGCCTAAGATCCCAGAGGGTGCAGTCTTTGTTCATGCTAGCGGCTTCATTGGTGGACACAAGACAAAGGAAGGCGCATTTGCCATGGCTGTTCGGTCATTGGAGCTATAATGCTTGATCTAAAATTGCCTGCAGAAATTTAAAGCTTACAGTTTTGGGGACTGATGTCCGCTGACCGCGTAATTCTTAGCCGTAGCACCTTGAGACTTGGTTTTGTGGTGACTTTTACCGGAACGCTTGCAATCCGTTTCAGTAGATCCTCTTATTAGACTGTGGTTATGGGAGGGGTGGGCAATTATCGTTGGCAAGGTAATCATTAATGCTCCTTGAGTTGAAATGAAATGCTCTTCAGAGTTCACGAGGCACAGGAAGTGCTGTGTAGACATTTTCACATTTTTTCTCTCCTTACCGATAATGCATGTCTCAATTAGACAAAACTACTTTAGCTCCTGACCTGCAAGATCCCATTCCACCTTGGAAATACCCCCGGACCCCATCAGCCAGAGTGTCTTGAGTTCCGGGCCGGTCCATGCGAAGTTCTGCACGGTATAATTGGTCTGTATGGTCAACAAAAGCTGGCCATGAGGATCGAGAACGTCAACGCCTCGTCCATTGCCGGTCACAATGTACCCATTGGCAGCAACCTTGAGACCGTCTGGGACATATCCAGCAGACAGATAAACAGGCCGCTTGTTAGAAGCTGTGGTACCGTCTTTGCTCACGTCAAAGGCATAGATGGTTCTATAGTCATGGTGCACTCCGTTAGTGAGTCCAACCTTTAGTTCCTTGTCACTTCGAGCTCTTACCTTGGGCCTGTGGCATTAAAAGGTGTTCCCGGGTGGCCGAATTTGGGATCGACCGGCCCACTCACTGCGCCAGTGTCGCTGATGTACACAATTGAGTAATCCGGGTTGAATGCGATGCCATTGGGCTGACTAAGGGTGTCATCAACCACAAAAACGGCGCCAGATTTAGGGTTGTATCTGTATGTAGCAGATGGAAGCTGAGGGGGTGTATCAGTGAGCTTATTGAACCATGAGTATTCTGCTAAGGCGTCAGTCCAATGATTTCGCAGCAAGTAAATCGGAAGACAAGAAGGAGACATACGCGGGTCTGTGAACCAAATGTCGCCCGTTTTGCCGTGCACTGCGAGATCGTCGACCGTATTGAAGTAATAACCATAATAGTTGTTGAGCAGAGTGACGGTATTGTTGGTTTCAGGGTCGAGCGTTCTCAATCCGGGCCGCTGCTCAGTGCCGCCGATCGACCGGTCACCGCCAGAGGCTCCCCAGATCACCCTGCCATTGTAGAATGTGCCCCCATTGGGCGCGTAGACCGGAGGATCGGAGAGAAATTCTGATAGCGTAGGCGGATCTTGATTCAAGTCGACAACGAGCTGCGGGAGATAGCCTGCTGGAGGTGCTAATTGAGACAAGTAGAGCTTGTTCTGTGCGGCAACATAGACGGGAGCCTCATGCACGGCATCCGAGACGGCAAACATATACTTATAAGTAGGCTGATTTCCAAGGATCTTCAGGCCTCTTTCCTTATCATAAACAACGAAGTCGGCCGATTTTATGTTCTGTAATGAAGTGCTATTTGCTACTACCGTGTCACCAAAGGTTGTGGCAACCTGAGAGGTGGATATGTTTCGATAGAAATGATATCTGAAAGAGCAGTCAACTCCAGCGGTGTGACATACTGGGCGTGTATACCCGCTTTGGGTTCAAAAAACGTACGGCAACACATTTGCATAATGATTGATGCACACAACCGAAGGGCCGCAGTCCTCTGAGATGGGATCAGTAACGCCGGTCTGCGTAAAAGCTAGCCGAGCAAAAAGGAAAGAACACGTCAAGGTGGTCAAATACATGGTAGCTCAAGAGAGTTAAATGAAGATCACTGCGAGAAAGAACGGCTTGTTCGTGGGCTTTCCCTGCAACCCCGAGGGTTGGGGTCATATATAAAATAGTGGAGGGACATGGTCCCGCCCCCACGCGGAGGGAGAAAAGCATCGAAGAATACTAAGAGCTAGTATGACAGGAAATCCAGAAAACTGGAGAAATACCGCTGCACAGCTTTGAAGCTTAAAAGCTTTCGTTGGAACTGCACTGAAACGGCAAGTGTAGTCCTCACATGTGGGGGTGGATGGGCAGCCTGTATAGACCTGTGGAGTAATGATCGCCCACATGGCCTGCTCAGAGACGGCAAGGATTGATTATATCGAAGCCTTAATCCTTAGCCATCGTCATTGATAACACCCGATGAGCTTCGCATTCCAGGGTTGAAGACCGAGAGCCGGGTAGATTGCCAGGTCGACTGCCATCCGGTCGGAGAAAGTCCGATTAGGAGACCGTACTCCATAGTCCTGCTGGGGAAGACACCACCACAGCGCTGCAATATGAGAAAAACAATGAATGCTTGCAGGAGAATAATGCAACCTAATGGCGAACCTTCAGTGAGCTAATGTCCTCAATGCTCCCTGTTCCATCACCGGCTACCTGGGTATCCTTGACGTCAGGATGGATGTCTGAAGCGTCTTCCCGTTCTCCAAGCGCTCGCTGGATAAGCTTAGCCTTGATTGTAGCGCCCTTAAGACGCTCATCAACATCTGTGACAGCTTCTTCCGTGTTCTCCATAGGCAACGAAGCTGGATCAACTAATTCGAGTAGAATCTCGAGGTTTTTGGCCAGCCGTGAACTGGGGGGAAGAGGCAGCATCTCCTTGCATACGAATGGTTCTAAGAGAATATCACCCTCATTATATGGCTGAGACTTGCGGGTATCTGTTCTGTCACTCTCCTGTGACGAATTCCGAGAGGAGTCAGAATCTGCGAGCCTCTGGGCCCAGACGAGTGCTTTGCCATATAGTCTTCCCAATTCAACAAACTTTTCGAAGCCTTTTTCAACGGCAAATACGCTTCCTTCAGTGTAACCAGCCTGGGCACCATCAGTTGCACCCAAATTATAGCCCTCTTGGTAGAATTCCTCTTCCAGGTCGAGAAGACTGTCAAGTATATTTTTTTCCATGGCGAATCCAACACCGCGATGAGACTGCGCGCGGAACAATAAGCGAAACCAGGCACAGGTCGGAGGCAAAGAAGAAAATAAAAGAAGAGAGCGTCGAAGAGACAGTAAGATCTATTACTGAACACCAATCGGGCCAGACTGGGTCGGAGGTTCACACTTGTTGATGTTCCCTTTACGGCGTATACAAAAGAGCCTAGATAGATAGCAGATTAGAACCATCCGGCTCCGAGCGATGAATCATCCGCACCTTCAAACATTTTCTGCCCCTCCGCAACCCCGCCATTCTGTAACCAACAACCATGGCTTCAGAAACCAAGATTTTGCCCAAGAAGGGCGAGCGGAACATTCTCATCACAAGTGCTCTGCCTTATGTCAATAATGTGCCTCACTTGGGCAACATTGTAGGTTCAGTCCTCAGTGCCGACGTCTTCGCTAGGTGTGTCTTGTGCGCCGCTCTTTGTTCCGCTACTTGAGGCTCACCTAGGATTTGTCCAGATATCACAAAGCTTGCGGACGACAGACTCTCTATATCTGTGGAACAGATGAGTACGGCACTGCAACGGAGACGAAGGCCTTGGAGGAGAAGGTGACGCCGGAGGAACTCTGTGCCAAATACAACAAGATCCATCAGGAAGTGTACGAGTGGTTCGAAATCGGTTTCGACCATTTCGGCCGCACTCCCACCCAGCAGCACACAGAAATCTCGCAGGCAATTTTCAAGAGGCTTTACGATAATGGATACCTGACGGAGAAGACCGCGGAACAGCCATTCTGCGAGGCGCACGGGTCTTTTTTAGCGGACCGCTATGTCGAGGGAGAGTGCCCGCGATGCCACTACGAAGATGCGCGAGGAGATCAGTGCGACAAGTGCGGCCACCTTCTCGATCCTTTTGATCTCATCAAACCTCGCTGTAAGCTCGATGGAGCTACGCCCGTGCGCCGCTCCACGAAACATATTCACCTTCTTCTTGACAAGCTGCAGCCTGAGATTGAGAAATGGGTTCTCCCCGCCATGGAGAAAGGCAACTGGCCCAAAAATTCTAGGGACATCACCAAGGCATGGTTGAAAGAAGGCTTAAAGGACCGTGGCATCACCAGAGATCTCAAATGGGGTGTTCCAGTTCCCCTCCCTGGATTCGAGAATAAAGTTCTCTACGTGTGGTTCGAGGCCTGCATCGGCTATCCGTCGATCACGGCCAACTACACTGCAGACTGGGAGAAGTGGTGGCGCAATCCGGAGGAGGTTGAACTGTATCAGTTCCTTGGCAAGGATAACGTGCCTTTTCACAGTGTGATTTTCCCTGGGTGCGAGCTCGGAACCAAGGATAAGTGGACCATGCTGCACCATCTCAGTACCACTGAGTATCTGAACTATGAGGGAGGCAAGTTTAGCAAGTCTAGAGGAGTCGGCGTCTTCGGAAACAACGCCAGGCAGACTGGAGTGCCCCCGGATGTGTGGCGGTACTACCTTTTGAAGAATCGTCCGGAGACTGGCGACACCCAGTTCGAATGGCGTCCGTTCGTCGAATGCAATAACAGCGAATTGTTGGCCAAATTGGGTAACCTGGTTAACCGTGTCGTCAAGCTGATCGCAGCTTCGTATAACTCCACCATTCCTGAGTTCATCGTTCCCGAGAGCTTTCAGCCGAACTTGGACGAGATCACAAGCCTCCTGCGACAGTACATTGAAGAGATGGAAGGCGTACATCTTCGCGCAGGGGTTAACACCGCGATGAGGCTCGCGGAGGCTGGAAACGGTCTCATCCAGGCCAATCGCCTTGACAACGCCCTCATTGCCAACGAACCTGACCGGGCTGCCGCGGTTGTTGGTACCGTCATCAATTTGATCCACCTTCTCTCTAGTGTCTTTGCTCCTTACCTTCCTGCTACCTCCAGGTCTATTCTCGAGCAGCTGAACGCGCCTTTTGGAGTCATCCCATCTCTCGATGAACTCAAAGATGGCTGGAAACCAGTGGCCCTGAAGGGGGGCCACAAGATCGGTAAGGCCAAGTATCTCTTCTCTCGCATCGACCCGAAGAAGGCAGATGAATGGCGTGAGCTGTTCGGTGGATCTCAGGCAGA